ACATTTCAGAAGTCAGGAAAGCTCGTTTCCCGAATTCTAGAAATCGAAATTTTTCCGGGGTAACCCGGACACCCTTTTTCTTCGGAATTCATTAATTCATTGAATCATTTTCAAGAGGGGAAAAAATTGAATTTTGAAGAAATAAAAAGTAATTAAAAGACACCTCAGAAGTCTGGAAAGCTTATTTCCCGCCTTCTAAGAATCAAAATTTTCCCGGGGTAGAAACCCCCCCCCCATTTTCCTGCATTCTAGAAATCAAAATTGTTCCAGGGTAACCCGGACCTCCTTTTACTTTGAAAGTCAGTGCTTCATTGAATCATTTTCAAGAGGGGGGAAACATTGAATTTTGAAGAAATAAAAAGTAATTAAAAGGCACCTCAGAAGTCGGGAAAGCTTATTTCCCGCCTTCTAAGATTCAAAAATTTCCCGGGGGAGAACCCCTTTCTTTTTTGGGATTTATTGATTCATGGAAAAAAATCGTATGCAACTACTCAATTTGTTTATGTACTGTATGTATACACACATAAGGCCTATATGCTGTAATAACAATGGGAACAATTTACTTAACCGTTTTTAAGAGGGGAAAACCTTGAATTTTGAAGAACTTAAATTAAAGTCGCTAAAAGATACTTCAGAAGTCGGGAAAGCTCATTTCCCACCATTTAAAAATCAACATTTTTCCCTGGGAGAACCTGAACCTCATTTTTCTCTTTGTGTTCATTTGATTCATCATAATAATTTCAAGAGGGGAAAACCTTGAATTTTGAAGAACTTAAAAGTAATTAAAAGACACCTCAGAATTCGGGAAAACTCATTTCCCGCCTTCTAGGAATCAAAATTTCCCATGCACCTATTTTTTTTTAAATTTTTTTTTTATTTCTAGGATTCAAAATTTTCCATGCACCTATTTTTTTTTTTTTTTTTTAATTTGTTACTGAAAACTACCATGCTAGATACTCAAAATTGACTTAATGCAAACTCATATTCCTCAAATGCACCCACACCAGGACCTTACCGGGGGCCCTAGGCGGCCCCCTGGCCCACAGCCTAAGGCTGCTCGCTTCGCTCGTAGGCTGCGCCCCCCCCCCACTTTCTGGCAGGCTGGATCCGCCCCTGACAACAACAACAACTACAGCAACAGCAACATCAAAAATAATAAATAATAAATAATAATAATAAATAATAATAATAATAATAAAATAACAATAACAAAGATGATAGGCCAAACACTTTGACTGCCAGGCCATTTTAGTGATTTTCCAGTTCACATTGAGAACACATGTATATACAAATATGACATTTTCTTTACACCAAAATAAAGAGTAATTCATGAGCTTTCAAATGATATCATACATTTTATTCATACAATAAATTATTGCAACACAATTTTGAATAATAAACACATACCTTATAGCAATTTTACTCTTTTCAGGCAATAAAGCTGAGAAAACAGCATTTTTAGTTTCACAACTCCTAAACAATAAAAACCAACAACTAAACACAATAATCAAACTTTTTATCCCCTTCAGTGTATTGTTATTTATACATATATGAATCTAACATATTAAAATTATAAATCCCACGCATGGATAAGGTCCAATGAGCCCCTGAGGTAGGGTTGGCTACCCCCGACTCTCAAAACAACTAAAAGTGTGAATATGTCCTATTTTCATTGCTTTGTTAGATATCCACATATTGATAAAAATGAAATATAAAAACATTGGTGCTATTGCATACGACTTTGTAAACATATCCACCACTGAGCCCTAGGGTAGGGTTGGCTACCCCCGCCCTCACCCTCCTCCAAACAACTAAAAAAAGTGAATATTGCATATTTTCATTGCTTTGTTATTAGTTTGTTATCATCCACATATTGATAAAAATGAAATATAAAAACACTGGTGTATATTGCACATGACCTTGTACACATACCCACCACTGAGTCCAGGGGTAGGATTGGCTACTCCCCCACCCCCAAACAACTAAAAAGTGTGAATATTGCATAATTTCATTGCTAGGTCTAGGCCTACATAGACGCATCATTCACACGCTACTATAAAGTAGGTCTAGCCTCCCGACTTCATTCACTAAATGCAGTCTGTACTTTTATATATTTCTGTAAATCTGTACTCAATATGTTACATAAAATACTGCATTACTTTAGACATATGCAAGGCCTGTGCTAAGAATGGGCTAAATTACTAAAGAAGGCTAGGCCTAGGCCTAGCTAACATAACGCATCGGCCACCAAGCCTGACTGTTGTGCACACGTTGTTGTTGAAGGACAGCCTCAACAAATATCAATCAAAACTCTTGTTTTATCTCGTTTATTGATAAATGTACAAGAAAATAAAAACACAGTAAGACATGTACATACATCGTTGCATACTAAAAAATCATTTTCGGAAATGACCTCTTCTGAAAACAGAGTGCGATCCATTTTCTTCGTCGCGTTTCGTATCCAGGAGAGGCCTACTCGAGCTTTTAGGCGTAAACAAACACGTCACGCTAAGCATGTTGGGATGGGGTTTCAAAATTGAAAAATATGTACGGCCCAAAACGAATTTATTGCAGAAATTTCTACCACAGGTCCACAACTTCCTTATATATCGGATTGTATAATAATACTCAAAAGACGGAGATTTCCGTCTTTGGCAGTCAAGCGTTTGTTGGTGTGTCACCTCATTTTGTGTGTACCGCCCTCTATGTGTATGGTATGTAACTACACCATGACCACGAGAACCAGGAGAGAAATAAAAGTCCAGAGTTTAATCATCGTTTATTGTGTTTTAATTACTGCCTATTGAGTTTATAATACACCGCAAAGAGGACATGGAAGCAACAGGTTATGGATCCAGCATATTTCAGCGATTGGTGTTCAACGGAGAAGAAGAACAATACGAATTATGGGAAGCCAAATTCTTAGGCTACATGAACACATTGAAGACGTCGTTGAAAACCACGATCACATCCCCACAACCGGAACCGGCTACACCGGTGGACACTGCCCTAAATGAGAAAGCGTATTCAGAACTGATTCAATTCCTGGATGACAAGTCATTGTCACTAGTAATAAATGAAGCCAAGGATAACGGTAGGAATGCTCTATGCATATTAAGAAATGAGTATGCAAGTAAATCTAAGCCTAAAGTTGTACAGCTATGTACTGATCTCACAACCCTGGAAATGGCAGATGATGATTGTACAACATACATCATTAGAGCAGAAAAGATAATTACTTCCTTGCAGAGAGCAAAAGAAGAGCCCAGTGAAGCACTCTTGATCGCGATGATCATGAAAGGGTTACCAGACGCTTATATACCATTTAAGATATTTGTAAACACCCAAAAAAAGAAAGTGTCATTCTTTGAATTCAAATCAACTTTGAGAAAGTTTGCAGAGTCAGAGATACTAAACCATCCAAAATCAAATGCCCGTTTATTGAAAGTTGGAACATTCAGTCCGAGAAATTGTTATGAGTGTTCCCTTAATCACCTAGTGAAGGATTGCACTGGAGTAAAATGCAAATACCACAAAATGACAAATTAAGAAAGCAGAGGATGGAACCGAAGAAGTTGAACACTCGTTTTTCTTCCAAGCATCAGAAAGCGCTATTCAAATCGAAGGTATTCTTGTTGACACAGGTTGTACTTCAGATGTTGTAACTGATGAAGACAAATTCTTAAGCTTTGATCAGAATTTTGAAAGTATCACTCAACATATTGAACTAGCGGACGATAGTAGAGCAAATGGTGTTGTAGTGAAGAGAGGAGATGCACTCATAATGCTATTGGATAAAGATAACAAGGAAGTGGAAACGGTGTTGAAGAGTGCCTGTATATACCAACCTATCCACACGACATTTTGAGCGTAAGAGCAGCGACGAGATCCGGTACAACAGTGATATTCAGTGAAGATGAAAACACCATCACAAGAGCAGAAAAAAGGTTTCAGATGAGAATTATTGATAAACTGTATTAATTACCAACTACTGTCTATACTGCCAATAATGAAATGGATAAAGTAAGTCTTGTTAAAAATCTGAATTATTGGCATATAGTTCTTGGCCATTGTAATTTTGAAGATGTTAAAAAAATTAGAAAATGTAGTAAATGGCATGGAAATCAATAATGGTCATTGCAACAAAACATGTGACACATGCATTGAAGGAAAATTTGATAATACAAGGAGTAGGGAGGCTGTTGCAAAGGCTAACAGACCATTAGAACTAATACACTCAGATCTTGCAGGGCCAATATCCCCAACAGCCTTGAATAACTTTAACTATGCAATCTCATTCACTGATGATTTTTCTGGCTTTACCTTTGTTTATTTTCTTTGATCTAAAAGTGATGCTGCAACAGCTGCTAAACAGCTAGCAGACTGTGCCCCGGTAAGGTGAAACGTATGGGAACAGACAATGGCGGGAGTACATTAGCCAAGCCTTCAAACCACTAATGAGGGATCAATGTATCAAACATGAATTTTCATCACCAAACTCACCCCATCAAAATGGGACATCTGAGCGTAATTGGCGCACGCTTTTCGAAATGGGTAGATGCCTCTTGTTGGAATATTCATTGCCTAAACACTTATGGACCTATGCAGTAAAAGCTGCAGCCTATATCAGGAACAGATGTTATTCCCAACGATTAAACAAAACCCCATTTGAAGCTTTTACAGGGAGCAAACCAAATTTGGCTAAAATGCATGTTTTTAGAACTGCATGTTATGGCTACTTACATTAATCAAGGAAATTAGACCCTAAATGCAAACGTGGTGTTTTTTGGGATATGATCCAAACAATGGGATAGTCCAGAAGTTTAGATTGATAAAAATTGCTTCTATCCCTACACAAAGCCAATTAACAGATCAGCACACACAAACAAATGAAGGTGATGAAACAATTTGTGAAAGTTTAGAAAACGGTGAAAGTAAAGAGGAACCCATAACAGATGAAAAACCCCTCAAACATAAATAGTGATTTAGAGGAACCAAAAATGGTTGAAAGTGCACTAGAAAATGAAACACCCAAAGTTAAAGACAGTGATAACTTTGAGAACAGAAATGAAAATAAAGGAAGTGATAACTCTGAAATTGACAGCGGAACCGAAAGTACCCCATCTACTTAAAAGATTTAGAAATGGGACTACACAGTGATGATGATTCAGTCTATAAAGTTTCATGTCAAACCATACCTTTAACTTACAATGGGGCTGTCCACTCCCAAAACTCAGATAGGTGGGAAAAGGCAATGGATGATGAAATAATGTCACTTAAAGATAACAACACATTCGAAGTAGTCAGATTACCGGAGGATAAAAATTTAGTGGGGGGTAAGTGGGTATTCGCCATTAAGGAATCGGCTGAAGGTAACCAGGCATACAAAGCAAGATATGTTTCAAAGGGATTTATTCAAGTAGAAGGTATTGATTACCATGACACATTCTAACCTACAGCCAATATATCCTCCATTAGAATATTGATGCAAGTTGCTGCACAGCAAAACCTCACTGTACACCAAATGGATGTAAAATCAGCATACCTAAATGCTGATATTGATACTGAAATCTAACTAAAACAGCCAGAGGGGTATGAAATTAAATCGGAAAATGGTGATGATTTAGTCTTTAAATTGAAAAAATCCATATACGGTCTTAAACAGTCCGGTAGAGATTGGAACCTCCTGTTGCACAGTCACTTGGAGAGTAATGGGTTCAAAAGAAATCCTGTAGATCACTGTGTATATGTTAAGAACAATGAGGGTAATTTGATGATTGTTATAATATGGGTTGATGACATATTGGTTGCAGCTAGTAATGAGAACATTCTACATAAATTTAAAACAAGTATGGAAAAACAGTTCTAAATGAAAGACATTGGTGTAATCCGTTTCTTTCTAGGAATTCATATTCTTGACAGCAATTTGACATCTCAAAGGTCATTGTTTGTCAAAAAACCAGGGCCTAAGACGACTGAAAAGCGGAGTTACCTTCTTTCGTTCTGCCGGGTAAAATCAATTACTTTAGGCGACGTTTGTAGACTAACCAACACGTACCAACGTCCGCATGTCGCGCTAGCCTTATCCTACTCTAGGCCTAGACTAGCTAGGTTTGTATAGGCTTAGCCTTGAAGGGACGAAGGTCCCAATGAAAAACAATGTCGCTCCTTGATAGCTAACATTGTCTATTTAACATCACAATAATTCATTATTAGACCTATAGTTGTTTTTTGAATTGTACTCCACAAATCTCAGCCGATACCTCGCAAAACTCGAGTAACGTCTCGTATCTATTGTCGTGACGTCATGGCTTGCTGGCTCACACTTAACGATGTCTCGCACTTGTGATCAAATAACAAGCTGGCTCGCACTTTGGCAGTCAACTCGCTCCTAGAAAACCCGCCCTTGGAAACTTGCCCCATAAAAAAGTCTTCAAAATAAAAATTGTAACCTTTGGTAATCAACTACATTTTCCACATACATAGAAATTTTTTAAACTAGAAACCTAAACCATAATTCACCACTATAGACACTTTTTGACAAAATTGAAAAATTACGACTTTGTTACTTAATGAGAAGTGTTCTAATATAGACAATGGGTCGTGTCTCATATTATGTGTTATATTTATTTTTAATTCATTAATTTCACTTGACTCGCATTAATAATTTTGTTTGAAGAACATTTATATGCAGTTGTACTTTGTAGCACTTCACTTGCAATTTGCAATTTCTAGTACAGTTTCTAAATGGTATCTGTGTTGAAAATTTTAAATGTGCTCACATTCATTGTGACAATCAAGGGGCCATAGCCCTATGTAAAAACCCTGTGCAAAGGAAAAGGTCTAAAGCACATCGAAATAAAACACAATTTCATAAGAGAAGCCCTAATTGAGGGGAAAATAGAGGTTAAGTTCTGCCCAACAGAAGATATGGTGGCTGAAATTTTGACTAAAGCAGCTACAAAATTTAAGATTCAGAAATTTTAAAGATTTCTGTTTGGAGATTAGTCAGTATGTTTTATAAATGCAGTAGTTTTTGAAGTTTTCGATTTAAATTGTGTTCATTTTTTTTTTTTTTTTGATAATATGACTTTATATTATGAGGTGAAGTGAGGGTGTGTTGGTGTGTCACCTCATTTTGTGTGTACCGCCCTCTATGTGTATGGGATGTAACTACACCATGACCACAAGAACCAGGAGAGAAATAAAAGTCCGGAGTTTAATCACCGTTTATTGTGTTTTAATTACTGCCTATTGAGTTTATAATACACCGCAAAGAGGACATGGAAGCAACAGCGTTGTGTAACAAAAGACGGAGATCTCCGTCTTTGACAGTCAAAGTTTTAAGAAACAAGACGGTACACATTTTGTTCAGCAATGGCAGAGCTTAGGGTCTTCATTAGGTGTTCACGTAGGTAATCTGACTTGTTCACTGATAATGCTGACACTGCTCTTAAAAAAAGAAACGCATAGCCAAGGAAATGGAAATGCCAAGAACACCACACCTGCAACATTTCTAAAGAACTTCGTCGTAGGGGTGTTCCCTAAATAGGGGTGTCCCAAATGAGGGGTTCTACTGTAAAAAAATTTGTTTTCCGTCAGTAAGCTCTCAAAACGTCTTCCTAACAATTGTCCAAAAAAAAAATTAAGAAACACGAAATTGCAAATTATGTTCAGCAATGGCAGAGCCCTACGGCCTTCATTATTAGGTGCTCACGTAGATAATCTGACTTGTTCACTGATAATGCTGACTCTGTTCTTAAAAAGAAAAATGCATAGGCAGGATAAACGTACATGTCAAGAACACCACATCTGCAAAATTTCCAAAGAACTTTGTCGAATTTCAGGATACTTACATTCCCACATTATACAAATACATAATAAAAGTTAACTTAAATTAAATTTTTTGTTTCAGATAATGAACCTCCTACATTGACATGTCCAGTTGACCCTACTGTGGATACTGACATAGGTGCTCCCACAGCATCAGTTGACTACTCAACGGAAATACATGCAAATGACAACTCCGGAGATGTCCCCACAATCTCTCCTGATCCAAACATTACATTTCCAGCTAATCTCATTATTGGAGCAACTATATTTAATTTTACAGCTATGGACTCATCGGGAAATGCAGATAATTGTACATTTACTATAAACATCAAAGGTTAGTTATATTGAAATAGAAATAGAAGGTTTATAGGCAATAATTAGTTTTGTTTTTCGTCGTCAAAAAGTTTAGAAAATGTCTTATTAACAATTGTCTTAAAGAGTTAAGAAACAAGACGGTACACATTTTGTTCAGCAATGACAGAGCCCTACAGTCTTTATTAGGTGCTCACGTAGGTAATCTGACCTGTTCACTGATAATGCTGACATTCTGCTCTTTAAAAAAACGCATAGCCAAGAAAATGGACATGTCAAAAACACCGCACCTGCAAAATTTCCAAAGAACCTAGTCGACTTTGAGAAAACTTACATTACTACGCTATACGATTACATAATAAAAGCAAATTTAAATTTACTTCTTTGCTTCAGATAATGAACCTCCTACATTGACATGTCCAGTTAACCATACTGTGGATACTGACATAGGTGCTCCCACAGCAGCAGTTGACTACTCAACGGAAATACATGCAGATGACAACTCCGGAGATGTCCCCACAATCTCTCCTGATCCATACATTACATTTCCAGCTAATCTCATTATTGGAGCAACTACATTTAATTTTACAGCTATGGACTCATCTGGAAATGCAGATAATTGTACATTTACTATAAACGTCAAAGGTTAGTTATATTGAAATAGAAATAGAAGGTTTATAGACAATAATTAGTTTTGTTTTTCGTCGTCAAAAAGTTTAGAAAATGTCTTATTAACAATTGTCTTAAAGAGTTAAGAAACAAGACGGTACACATTTTGTTCAGCAATGGCAGAGCCCTACAGTCTTTATTAGGTGCTCACGTAGGTAATCTGACTTGGTCACTGATAATGCTGACACTCTGCTCTTAAAAAAAGGAAAACGCATAGCCAGGAAAAATGGAAATGTCAAGAACACCACACTTGCAAAATTTCCAAAGAACTTCGTCGACTTCGAGGATATTTACATTACCACATTATACGATTGCATAATAAAAGTTAATTTAACTTTACTTCTTTGTTTCAGATAATGAACATCCTACATTGACATGTCCAGTTGACCCTACTGTGGATACTGACATAGGTGCTCCCACAGCATCAGTTGACTACTCAGCGGAAATACATGCAAATGACAACTCCGGAGATGTCCCCACAATCTCTCCTGATCCCAACATTGCATTTCCAGCTAATCTCATTATAGGATCAACTCTATTTGATTTTACAGCTACGGACACATCGAGAAATGCAAATAATTGTACATTTACAATAAAGGTCGAAGGTTAGTTATATTGAAATAGAAATAGAAGTTCTATACACAATACAGTAGAACCCCTATTAAGGGACACATTCGGGACCAGAAAAAAGTGTCCCCTTAATAGGGATGTCCCTAAATTAAATAGCGGTACCCCTATTCAGGGGACACAAACTAAAAACGTGAAATTGTCCCCTTAATAGGGGTTTTTAGCATGTTTTCATATAACGATGGCATACAATTCTTTATAATTTTATTTTGATAGACATATTAGTTACAACAGAATTAGAACTAATTGATATTAATAACTTGCAATGCAAATATAATTCATTTATAACATGAAACCAGCAAATATATAATTAAAACAACAACAGTTTTATATGTTCCGAATATTGTTTCATGATGCAATGTTAATGAATGCACTGGAATACTATGAAAGTGCATAAAAAACGAAGAAAATAAATCCCCATGGTTAAGGGTCAAAATTGACAAGATTGGTTTATACGAAGCAACACATGCAGTAGAACTTACCGTTATTCGCTCCCAGTATTTGGGGAGAAAATTATGGTTTATTGCTCAAATATAAAATTTCAAAAGTAAATTTTCATTTTCAATTAATTTCAATTTCAATTTATTCAAAAAAATCCTCCAGAACAGAGAAGTAAAGTAGCAGGCCTAAAAAGAACTTTAAAACAATAGAACAATTTCATTAAAATGAACAATTTATTCATGCATATACCAGGACAATAATAAAAACCACACCAAAATTGGATAAATTCTCAAAATACAATTTTAATCAAATCAATAAGAAGTGAGAACAAAACACCACTTTAACAAATACGACAAAACAAAGCCGTGAAATTACTTAAACACACAAATCTACTACCAAACAAAGACGAATTAATTTACTTGCTTCAAAATTCTTTATGCACTTTAATTTTAGTTAAATTATTATTATTATTATTATTACCTAGTTTAACAAAAGCTCGCCCTTGAAAAACAGGAGTAGAAAGGTGATATAACAGTTAAAAGGGTGATGAAAGTTCCTTAATAAGTTGCTCAAATTGTGTCAATAATAAACTTAGGTGAATTTCTCTTTTTTTGAGATTGTTGTATTTGTTGTGATACAATAGATAAAAAAAAATAAGTGTCCCCTTAATAGGGGTATTTGACCAATTGGCACTCACCTTACGACGGGGTATCCCCTGAATGGGGGTGTCCCAAATGAGAGGTTCTATTGTAATTAGTTCTGTTTTCCGTTAATAAGATTAAAAAACGTCTTTCTAAATATTGTCTCAAAAAGTTTAAGAAACCAGAAAGTATAAATTTTGTTCAGCAATGACAGAGCCCTACGGCCTTAATTATTTGCTCACGTAGGTAATCTGACTTGTTCACTAATAATGCTGACACTCTACTCTTAAAAAGAAAAACGCAGAGGCAGGAAAAATGTACATGTCCAAAACACTACATCTACAAAATTTCCTAAGAACTTCGTCGAATTTTAGGATACTTACATTACCACAATATACGATTACATAATAAAAGCAAATTTAAATTTACTTCTTTGCTTCAGATAATGAACCTCCTACATTGACATGTCCAGTTGACCCTACTGTGGATACTGACATAGGTGCTCCCACAGCATCAGTTGACTACTCAGCGGAAATACATGCAAATGACAACTCCGGAGATGTCCCCACAATCTCTCCTGATCCCAACATTACATTTCCAGCTAATCTCATTATTGGAGCAACTATATTTAATTTTACAGCTATGGACTCATCGGGAAATGCAGATAATTGTACATTTACTATAAACGTCGAAGGTTAGTTATATTGAAATAGAAATAGAAGGTTTATAGACAATAATTAGTTTTGTTTTTCGTCGTCAAAATGTTTAGAAAATGTCTTATTAACAGTTCCCTATTCAGGGAACACAAACCAAAAACGTGAAATTGTCCCCCTAATAGGGGTTTTTAGCATGTTTTCATATAACGATAAAATACAATTATTCTTAATTTTATTTTTATTGAGATTTTAGTTACAGTAGAATTAGAACTAATTTATAGCAATAATTTGCAATTTATATATAATTCATTTATAAAGAAATCAGCAGAAATGTAATTAAAACAACAGTTTTATATGTTCCCAATATTGTTTCATGATGCAATGTTAATGAATGCACTGAATACTATGAAAGTGCATAAAAAACGAAGAAAATAAATCCCCATGGTTAAGGGTCAAAATTGATAAGATTGGTTTATACGAAGCAACACATGCAGTAGGACTTACCGTTATTCGCTCCAAGTATTTGGGGAGAAAATTATGGTTTATTGCTCAAATATAAAATTTCAAAATTAAATTTTCATTTTCAATTAATTTAAATTTCAATTTATTCAAAAAAACCTCCAGAACAGAGAAGTAAAGTAGTAGGCCTAAAAAGAACTTTAAAACAATAGAACAATTTCATTAAAAAGGCCAATTTCAATTAAACATATACCAGAAAAATTTTACTAAAAACCACAACAAAATTGGATAAATTCTCAAAATACAAAATGTAATCAAATCAATAAGAAGGGAGAACAAAACACCACTTTAACACATACGACAAAACAAAACCGTGAAAATACTTAAACACACCAATCTACTACCAAACACAGACAAATTATTTTACTTGATTTAAAATTTTTTTTGCACTTTAATTTTAGTAAAAAAATATTATTATTATTATTATTATTATTATTATTATTATTATTATTATTATTATTATTATTATTATTATTATTACTGTTGTTGTTGTTGTTGTTGTTGTTGTTGTTACCTAGTTTAACAAAACCTCGCCCTTGACAAACAGGAGTAGATAGGTGATATAACAGTTAAAAGGGTGATGAAAGTTCCTTAATAAGTTGCTCAAATTGTGTCAATAATAAACTTAAGTGAATTTTTCTTTTTTTGAAATTGTTGTATTTATTGTGATACAATAGATAAAAAAAAATAAGTGTCCCCTTAATAGGGGTTATTTGACCAATTTGCACTCACCTTACGACGGGGTGTTCCCTGTATAGGGGTGTCCCAAATGAGAAATTCTACTGTAATTAGTTTTGTTTTCCGTCAATAAGATTAAAAAACGTCTTTCTAAATATTGTCTCAAAAAGTTTAAGAAACAAGAAAGTTCAGCAATGACAGAGCCCTACGGCCTTAATTATTTGCTCACGTAGGTAATCTGACTTGTTCACTAATAATGCTGATACTCTTCTCTCAAAAAGAAAAAATGCATAGGCAGGAAAAATGTACAAGTCCAAAACACCACATCTGCAAAATTTCCAAAGAACTTCAGGATTTCAGGATACCTACATTACCACACTATACGATTACATAATAAAAGCAAATTTAAATTTACTTCTTTGCTTCAGATAATGAACCTCCTACATTAACATGTCCAGTTGACTGTACTGTGGATACTGACATAGGTGCTCCCACAGCATCAGTTGACTACTCAGCGGAAATACATGCAAATGACAACTCCGGAGATGTCCCCACAATCTCTCCTGATCCCAACATTACATTTCCAGCTAATCTCATTATTGGAGCAACTCTATTTAATTTTACAGCTATGGACTCGTCGGGAAATGCAAATAATTGTACATTTACGATAAACGTCGAAGGTTAGTTATATTGAAATAGAAATAAAAGGTCTGTAGACAATAATTAGTTTTGTTTATTCGTCAAAAAGTTTTGAAAACGTCTTTCTAACAATTGTCCTAAAAAGTTAAGAAACAAGAAGGTACAAATCTTGTTCAGCAATGGCAGAGCCCTACGGCCTTCATTATTTGCTCACATAGGTAATCTGACCTGTTCACCGATAATGCTGACATTCTGCTCTTTAAAAAAACGCATAGCCAAGAAAATGGACATGTCAAAAACACCGCACCTGCAAAATTTCCAAGAACTTCGTCGAATTTGAGAAAACTTACATTACTACGCTATACGATTACATAATAAAAACAAATTTAAATTTACTTCTTTGCTTCAGATAATGAACCTCCTACATTGACATGTCCAGTTAACCATACAGTGGATACTGACATAGGTGCTCCCACAGCAGCAGTTGACTACTCAACGAAAATACATGCAAATGACAACTCCGGAGATGTCCCCACAATCTCTCCTGATCCCAACATTGCATTTCCAGATAATCTTATTATAGGAGCAACTCTATTTCATTTTACAGCTACGGACTCATCGGGAAATGTAAATAATTGTATATTTACAATAAAGATCGAAGGTTAGTTATATTCAAATAGAAATAGAAGGTCTATACACAATAATCAATAAGCTAGAGTAGTAATCTGACTTTTTCACTGACCAGAAATCACAAATTTTGTTCTGCTATTACATTGAAAAAAACGCATAGTCAGGGAATATTTACTTATCAGAAACACCACATCTACAAAAAAAAATTGGCAACGAACTTGGTTCGTCCACTTTAATGATAGTTACAATACTAAACTACACGATTACATGGTAAAGGTTAATTTATTTTACTTTTAAGATTCATAAAATGAGCACTATATATACACACTATAACTATTTGTGTTTGTGTGCCACTGATTTGACGTCTTGCTAACAATTGTTTCAAGAAGTCAAAAATCTCGAAGACACCAATTTTGTTCTGCAATGATTGAGCTGTAAGTGTTTTCATTATTCACTTACGCAGGTAATCTTACTTTTAAACTGATAAGGCCAACAAAATAATTGTTATCTTCCTTTTTTTTATTTTGTTCAAGTATAAATTCGAGGAAATACCACTACTAAAATTATCATTTAGTACATAAAATATCAAAATCAGGCCATAGATGCACGCGGAAAATCGGTAAAATAGATTTAGAGAATTGAACCCATCGCGACGACGATAATATGCACGCAACATCGGATCTCTCGCGCTGACCTGTCAAGCCAAAACCAGATCTGGGCTTAGCATATTCTTTCCTACTGTACAGCTAGTGGTTGGTTAGATCAAAAATAATATCAATCATGACGTCATCACTGCAACTCTAACTGTTTTTTGCCTATCCACACAGTCCACGAATTTTTTAATTAGTGGACGCTTGGCTTGATTTTTTAGGTTCTTGTGCAAAAAGAAAATCTCATTATTTCTTCACCACGAAGATCCGCCCACCGCGATTAAAATTGAATTGTAATCAGTGTGACCACTGGGAAAAAATAAAAAATTTCCAAGATTCATTTTTAAGATAGCTTGAAAATTCCCAAGATTCGCAAAATATTTGTATATATACATAACACTTCTTTTAAAAACCCAATTTTCAAGCTTTTTCAATGAATTGCATTTATTATTACATGTACACTATACTGTATAACGAAACAGTGTCTGGATTTTCGAGACCAACTAGTTCGTTTTGATTCAACTGCAAATAATTGTGTAAAATATTTGGGTATTGAAATTAATCAAATTTAACCTGTTCTGATTAATACATGTAAATTCATTAAGAAAATCAATAACAGACTTAAGTTTATATACCGTCAACTAAAATTAATTAGCTGCAAACATTGTAAAATACGATGTTTTGTAAAATTCAATGTTCTGCTCCTGTTCAATGTGTTTTTGATTATGCCGCATCAGCATGTTTCTGTGGAATGAATAAAGCAAGATTTCACAAAACAAAATGTATTGGCTCATAAAAGGAGTTGAACATACAAGGCATATTGTTGCTGACCAACGAAATGATTATGGATTGTTAAATGTAAAATGTTGAGTTATGTTCTTGCAACTAAATCACGTTCATAAGATATTTGTGGGCAGGAAAGCTCCATACCTTTCTGATAATTTTCGTGGAATTAATAACCTACATAAGTATTTTACTCGTGCCAGTCAGTAAAAAATTGTTGTGCCTAAACTCCAAGGTATAGGATCGATTACATTATATTGTAATGCTATTAAAGAATGGAATAAACTTCTTGACTATATTAAGCAAATATCAAATTCATTCCAATTCTTCTAAAACGGAGCTGAAGAACCCTAAACACAGAAAATGATAATTAAAAACTGTATTTTTTTTTTAATTGTGCTATCGATCAAACTGCGATTTGTATTGTTTGTTCACTTAGCTATTTTGTAACTTAAATACCTTCTTTTTCCATTTCACTCCTTTTTATTTCTCATTGTTTAGTTTTTTTTTCTTTGGCCATTTTAATTTACAAGGGACCACATTGGAAATCATTTATTTTATTTTATTTTAAATTACTTTTTTGTGTAATCCCTGGCATCTTTACCTGATCTCGCTCATTTTCTCTGGCTGAATCGGTTGGGCACTTCAAATCTTATAACTTTCCATTTCAGTTCTCACTTTCATTAGTGCTTGTTTTTTGTTTTCTTCTTTGTCCATTGTCCTTTTCTCCATTGTCCTTTTCTCCTTTTTTTTTCGTTGGGATTACATGCATCGTAATTTTTTAGGCTGCGGCGCCTGAGCATCTCTATATCATGGTTGATAGATACGTGCGCCTGATAATTCTCCGATTGATTGATTATTTATTTATTTTATTTTGTTTTATTTTACTTCTCTTATTTCCCGTCACTTTTCATGTATTGCATCCTAACTTTTTAATGTTATAGTTGTGGTGGAAGGGAATGATCTCGCTCATTTTCTCTGGCTGAATCGGTTGGGCACTATACATCTTATATTTTTCCATTTTGAGGCTGCGGCGCCTCGAGCATCTCAATATCATGGTTGATAGATACGTGCGCCTGATAATTCTCAGATTGATTGATTGATAATTTATTTTATTTTATTTTATCTTTACCGCTCTTATTTCCCGTCTCTTTTCATGTATTGCATCCTAACGTTTTTAATGCTGGGGGTGGTGGTGGTAGGGAATTTTTCTTGCTCATTTTCTCTGGCTGAATTGGTTGGGCACCTTAAATCTTATAACTTTCCATTTCAGTTCTCACTTTCATTAGTGCTCGTTTTTTGTTTTCTTCTTTGTCCATTGTCCTTTTCTCCTTTTTTTGTTGAAATTACATGCATCGTAATTTTTTAGGCTGCGGCGCCTCGAGTCTCTTCCCAATATCATGGTTGATGGATACGTGTGCCTGATAATTCTCCGATTGATTAATTGATTGATTATTTATTTTATTTTATTTTATTTTATTTTACCTCTTTTATTTCCCGTCTCTTTTCATGTATTGCAACCTAACGTTTTTAATGTTGGGGGGTGGGGGTGGTGGTGGTAGGGAATGTCCTATCTGAATTAAAATCATATACATAAAAATTACAGAGCAATTGCCTTTATTTTATTTGTATTACACAGAAAATATACTAGTAGCAAAGCTCATATATTAGAAAAAAAGGAGTTATTCTTTATAACTTCTTTGTTTTCGGGAGTTTAAGGTGGTAGGCATAAAAGTAAAGTACTTTTGATGAATGTTATTGAACTTTTACTTGTCAAATTAAAACACAATTTAAAGAATTTGCAAAGTATGAAACGGTGTGGGATCTCAAATGAAGATATATTGAAAATTATAGATAATTGCAATGTATAAACTATAGAGTTATATACATGTAATATACACCATAATGGTAATAATATAAATATTATGAGATAATAAACATGGAAAAAAAAATAATAAAATAAAAATGCAAAAAAAAAATAATGCATAATAATTAATAATACCAATAATGATGATTCTTGCTCAACTTTACTGCCCTACACTGAAGCAAACAGCGTATCGCCAAATAAGACACATATCAAGATATTTAGCTTAAAAAATGCACCTTATTATTTTTGGAAAATGATTAAAATTACTATTAGACAACTTATAGGTCTTTTTGAACAAATAACAACCCTCATTCACTGTCAACTATGGTGTTATAAAGGTCATGCAATTATTGATTTTAAAAAATCCATGTAATTCCAAAAATCCCAAGATTTAATGAAAATTTTACAAAAAATCCCAAGATCTCAAGGTGTCATTAAATATCCCAAGATCTTGGGTTAAAACCCAAGCAGTGGTCACAATGATTGTAATTGAAATTACTTTCGTAAAACAAGCTTAAATTAGGGCCCGAAGAAAGTTACTTCAACTTCAATGGTAAGTATAAACAATTAAGGAATTCATTGAATCAGTGGACCCTCATAAACAAAACAAACAGAAGGCTTTAATAGGAATATTCTAGACCAATTCTAATGACTCAAGGAAGAAATCTATATGTAGGCCTACGGCCAGGCAGGAGGCCGCCGAGGCCTCCTCCTACTTACTAGGCCGTAGCCTAGGCCTGGCCTAGTTATGAAATCATTGCACGATTTTTACCTGTCTACATGCACCGACCAAAAATCAGAGACTGTATTCTCCCTCGAATAGTGAAATGTTTATTTCTTTGACGAATGTCATTACAAACAAGTCTTTCTAACACAGTGCAAATTACAAGAGTTACTCATCGTATCCGTACTGTACTGCTGATGTCAAAGATACTAGAAACCCTTGGAAGATAAAGTTCCCCACAGAAAAAAATGTTTCACCGAAATGCATGGTGGGAATACAAACAATGGGGGCCCCGAAGGCCCGTAGCCAGGTTCTTCCAAGGGGTGGGGGTCGGGTTCTGGGGTTCTGGGCGTGAAGTCCACTGTCGAAGCCCCGGTGGGGTCTGCAAAACCCTCAAAGCAAGAGGATTTTTGTGCTTTATGGGTCTTAATAATGCTATAAAAGCAGATATGTTTGACAACGTCTGTGTCTGGGTGGGTATGCAGAGCATTAGTTGGCTTGGAGGACTTCAGGGCCGGCGGAACGTTTTTTAAAGTGGGGGGACCCGCTTATAAGATGAATGGGAATATGAATCATGCAGATCTGGAATCAAATCTAGGGGATGGGGGTCAACATTTTTCAAAAAAACGAAAGGGGATACTTGGGTCCTCTCTCCCCCGGGAAAATTTTCATTTCTAGATGGCGGGAAATGACCTTTTTCTCGACTTTTGATCTAGGTGTCTAATGACTTTGTTCTTCAAAATTCAAGGTTTTCCCCTTCTTGAAAACGGTCAGGTAAACTTTCTTATTCTTATTACAGTAAATAGGTCTGTTATGTGTGTATACATACATAAAACAAATGTAGTTGCATACGTATTCCTTTTTCAATGAATGGATAAGCTCTAAAGAAAAGGGGGTTAGGGGTTCTCCCCCGGAAAAATTTTGATTACTAGATGGCAGGAAATGAGCTTTTCCGACTTCTGAGGTGTCTTAATTACTTTTAAGTGCTTCAAAATTCCAGGTTTTCC